GTTGTCATTAGTGATTATCTCAATTTCGGCTAAAAGAATTGACAAAATCCTACACACTGTGCCTTTAAAGGTTGAAGTTTACATTTAAGTATTTTGGAATGGAACAGCCCCTACTACCCGTGAGAAAAAGCTGTTCCATTCTTACTTGCCGGTGTTATGCAAAATTCAGTTCCCCTGTGAAAATCTGTTCCCCCTAGTGGTCAACCTTAGAGAGAATCACTGGTCCAGGCATACCGTCAGACCAATCCTAAATGGTTAATACAGTATGAGGGTGGAGCTTCCAACACAGGGGGAACAGATTTTCACAGGGGAACTGAATATCGTACAACACCGGTATAAAGTCGAGCTCRTTTCCGGTGAGAGTTGGACTCTGCCAAGGTTGATCCTTTATCACCGATTCTGTTCATAACTTTTATGGACAGAATTTCTAGGCGCAGCTAAGGTGTTGAGGGGATCCTTTTTGGTGACCTTAAGATCACATCTCTGCTTTTTGTGGATGATGTGGTCCTGTTGGCTCCATCAGATCGTGATCTCCAGCTCTCACTGGAGCGGTTCGCAGCCGAGTGTGAAGCAGCCGGGATGAGGATCAGTGCCTCCAAATCCGAGACCATGGTCTTGAGCCRGAAAAGGGTAGAGTGCCTTCTCCGGGTCGGGGAGGAGGTCCTGCCCCAAGTGGAGGAGTTTAAGTATCTCGGGGTCTTGTTCACGAATGAGGGAAGAATGGAGCRGRAGRTMRACAGGCGGATTGGTGCTGCGTCTGCAGTGATGCGGGCACTGTACCGGTCCATGGTGGTGAAGAGGGAGCTGAGCCAGAAGGCGAAGCTCTCGGTTTACCGGTCGGTCTTTGTTCCTACCCTCATCTATGGTCACGAGCTTTGGGTAGTGACCGAAAGAACAAGATCGTGAATATAAGCGGCTGAAACGAGTTTCCTCCGCAGGGTGTCTGGACTCTCCCTTAAGAGATAGGGTGAGAAGTTCAGTCATCCAGGAGGGACTCAGAGTAGAGCCGCTGCTCCTCCACGTCGAGAGGAGCCAGTTGAGGTGGCTCGGGCATCTGGTTAGGATGCCTCCTGGACGCCTCCCTGGTGAGGTGTTCCAGTCACGTCCCACTGGGAGGAGGCCCAGAGGAAGACCCAGGACACGCTGGAGGGACTATGTTTCTCAGCTGGGCTGGGAATGCATTGGGATTCCCCCAGAGGAGCTGGTCCAAGTGGCTGGGGAGAGGGCAGACTGGGTCTCTGCTTAGGCTGTTGCCCCCGCGACCCGACCCTGGATAAATGAAGAAAACAGACAGATGGATGGACGGAACAGCCTTTGCTGTTGGTGCTTGCTCTTGGTATGACGTCACCATCCTGAGACAGCAGCAACCACTGTCGAAGCTTGTCTAAGACATCAAACTTGTAGTTGTGGCTGGTGACCAAGCTGCACTTCTAAGTGCCGGACCACAGGTACCATCCATATTGTTTTCAATAAACCTATTTTGACTTTTTAGATTTTAAATTCTATCTTTAACAGCAAACATTGATGTTTATCGCAGGATTATGACATCGTAGTTAGTTAATGCTAACTGTTGCTAACACTGCTGAAGATGGCATTTGAAATCTATACAGACACAATAATTGCATTTATTTTAGCAAACCTCAAATTTTACTAACTGGATCAAACAAAATCCCACTGAAATGGTCCTTAATGCATATTTCTGCTTATTAGCCTCATACCAAAAATAAGAATGGCATCAGTGTTTTCTTTATCTATCAGCTGACTAGGCTGCTGTTTAAAATAATCCATGAAACCAAAATGTTTGAGTAGTGTGACAATCACACTATCACACAAACACTTTCACAATGACTAATTGTTCAAAAGGGCCTTAAATGAGTAAACAGAAACAAGCAAAGTTTCCGGTGAATCGGCTTTCTAGGGTCACAACAATTCTAACCTCCTGAATCTGATATATCCAAGCAACTTTGGGATCTGCACAAAAAAATGCACAAATGTTAAAAACCRTTTTAGGAATGTCCAGCTTTTAGGACAACACTTAACTCACACTGAATGAGACGAAAGCCCAAATATCAGATCAATTCAATTTCAAATGTGTCATTTTTTCAGATGATTGTTTTTCTGTTTGGAACCATGTGTTTAAACAAAACCAAACTCTGCTTCTTATGGCAAGCTTCCTTCCTGTGCCYGGTCCCCTGGCAACAAAACCCCCGCATGGTTGTGAAAAGAGGACATGAGCCTGGGAAACTCTTTTAGGAGAGCAAACGGGAGCCCAAAGCACAGCAGGGACGGAATGTCCAAAACGGAGGAACGATGCYCCCGCCATAACCGGATGCAACGTGTGGCAAATTAGCCTCCTGCCTGTGAYTAATCATGCTGACCAGTACCAGTGTCCTGATGCATCTCAGTAATCCAGGTAAAAAATCAAAWAGAAAAAAATTGTRTAGGTCTTCTGGACGGGTTCTTCTCTAATGAAACGTTTCGTCTCTTCTCCAAGAGACTTCTTCAGTCTGAGAGTTTCAGGCAAAATTCAGGCTTTTAAGCACTGCCTCCATGTGACTGATACTCACATCACATGGCTATCGTTGACACCTAATTAACACYTATTGTTAACAGGGGGTGGAGTGATACTGGCAATGGCTGCGCTGTAGGAGGGAGACAACTGAAAACGGAGGCCTCCACCTCTGTTTAATGATGGACGGTCTTTCTTTACAAAAATGGCTTCTTTTACTCCTCTCTCAAACCAACGTTCCTCTCTATCAAGAATGAGAACATCCTCATCTCTGAAAGAGTGACCGCTGGCCTGTAAATGAGTGAAAACTGCAGAGTTCTGGCCATTAGATGTAGCTTGTCTGTGTTGGGACATTCTTTTGAACAGTGGCTGCTTTGTTTCCTCGATGTTTAACTGGTTGCAGTCCTCCTGGCACTTAACAGCATATACAACATTGCTCTGTTTGTGCCGGGGCACYGGATCTTTGGGGTGATCTTTGGAGTATTTATCATATCCTGCATGTTTGGGTCAGGTGCAGCAGCTCTCTCTGCAGATTACTAATAACATTTTATACAAAGCCTTTGGGTTCCTCTCTGCATTTTTTTAAGTGAAACTTTTCAAATATTAACAGATATCAGAATGGCTGTGCTGTTTTCCACTGGCCCTTAAACGTAACTTCTTTTTAACGTCTGTTATGAATTTTAGTTGAGCTCCCCTGAATGTGCAGCAGCTGTTGTATAAACATGGATAGCAAAAGGTGAATGTGAGCTCTTGATGACCTGTAGTGATGTCTGCAAACAGGTTTTCTGAGCTGCTGTTACAAAACAAACCACAAAGCTCTGTCGGCGTTTTGGCACAGCTGAGGCTGTCTAAAGGGCATTTGGAGATGCAGTATTTCCATTCCTTTCATCGACTTAAGATGCACTTTGTGAAATGTAAAAAAAAAATGCAATAATTTGTGAATCATTGCAAATTTTAAACCACAAATATGAACATGCATGTGCACCATAGCAGTGGTGGGCAGCACTGATCTAAAAATTAGTTCCACTAGCACTAAAACAATAACTCAAATMTTTAGGTCCCCTAATTCTAAAGCACTAACTCAAAWATTTAGGTCCCCTAATTCTAAAGCACTAACTCAAATATTTAGGTCCCCTAATTCTAAAGCACTGATGCACTGAGAGTTTTAGCAAAAGCTAATTCTAAAGCACTAAAATAACTCAGTCAACCCACAACAAACATGAGTCCCATGTTGCCATGTTGCTCTCTTAAGACTTATCATTGACATTCCACAGCTGTGTTTGTGTTAAAATATTGTCACCTAGTGTATAAGTGACACACATATGAACAAAATGTGCGACAGTTTTCACCCTCAGCTGTTAACATTAATGTTGATCAATAACATTTATATACCTCAGTTAGTGCTTCTAAATTTAGCCTATAAAATTAGCAAGTGCTAATCCACTCATAAATTTTAAAATTAGCAAAAGCCCTAAAGCACTAGTTCCCCCATTAGTGCTTTAGAGCTTTAGGGGAACTGTGCCCACCACTGGACATTCAGTTCATAATTATATTTTTAATTGCTTCATTCATTGATAAAATTCTACATATAAAATAAATACCTCACATATTCAACAAGATTAAAACCTCATGAGT